TCTTATTTGGCAAATTTCTTGTGTTTTAAATGGAGCTGGCATTAAAATGATGGGGTTTTTTTTTTTCTTTTGTAACAAATACATATCTAACACTTTATCTTGCCAAAATATGTATTTTGCTCTGGAACCATCAAAGCCAGGAGAGGGAACTGAAAAAAAAATGTTTTCTCTAAGGAATTCCAAAAAAGCAGGGTCATATCAATTTTAATTGCTCAACAGTAGTTATACGTTTAAAAGATGACATATATAAAACCAAATTCCGGGTTGTCTTCATTCAACTCCTGTCATCCCTGCTGGGAATTGCACATGGTCTGAGCAGAAGACGTAGGTTTTGAAGGTGATCATTTATGCCCAAGTGTGTGCTTGTGGAGAACCCTGTTGACATCAGTGGGACTTTACTTGGTCTTAGGTGTCTGCCCATAAAGGTCTTGCTTTCAGGATCAGGAGCTAAAACTGCAATCTGGTTTTGTGAGCTTTTGCAGAAAGGCACTTGGAAGACATGAATTTCTTTGCCATCTCCATTCTAATCAAACAGCAGATTTTAGAGTTGGAATTTTTTAGAGACATTTTTTCATAACTTAGTTCAGTCTCATCTCAGTTTTGGTCCAACCAGTAATTTGAAACAATTAAATTGCTGCTAAAACTTCTGTAGTCTAAAGTCCCGCTATACAGGACACTGCCTCCCATGTTACAGTGTCTCAATGTTGACATGTTTTCTGAACTCCCTTCACTGTTATCACTTGCAAATCTAAATGGTCATTCAGACGTCACTAAACAAACATTTGGGTACAAATCAGACGCACGTGTGAGTTCAGTTTTGCACGCACAACTGAGACTATCTGGGACACTCTATTTTGAGTGTGTTCTTGTGTCCATGAATGTCTTTTTCCTTGGAGCTTTCCTCCCTTCTTTTATATATGTTTTTTTAATCTTTATCTGAGCTGTTTTCTTGATTTATTTTTTTCTTTCCCCTTCCCCCACAAAACTTCCTTTCAGTTTGCCTTTGCTTCTTCCTCTCCTTTTGCCTTTTGCAAAGCCTTTTGGAGAGTCTGTCCCCATTTTTCCCTAACTATAAATAGTGGGGTATTTTTTCTTTTGAACTGCATTTGTGCCTCTCTTTCCCAGATCTGTTGTCCTGTGTGCATAATAAAATTTTTCAAAGGTGCTTAGTTGTTTCCCCTTCGCAGTTTTATGTGCAGCTAGTACTGAAAGGTTGTTTGACCTGACAAGAAAATGCTGTTGCCTCATCATTGGTCTGTAATTGCTGAACTTAGATCTACAGCATGTCAGAGGAAACATCTCGCTGCAGTTTTAGCAAAACAAGGACAAATAAAGATCCTTGTGCCAATATGTGTTCAGTTCTTTTTTGTCATCTCTTTTAAAATATGAATGAGAATAAAAGTACATTAAGTTGTGTGGTTGAAAGCTTTGTTGCATTCACTGATGAACTGTTAGTTCTCCCTGCAGGTTCCTACGGTCCTCGGTCTCACTAGGTTTTAGAACTGGGCTGGCCAACTTCTAAGGCCTGGGGATCATGTGCCACGTGGGCTGTGGTGCGGTGTGGGCACTGCAGGGCTCCCCTGCACCCGGGGCACCCCATGCTGTGTCAAATGCCCTCCCCACTAGTGCACACACCTCCCCACTGATGCACCACACAAGCGTGCAGATGCAATTTTGCCCTCACCCCAACACCCACTCTCATGGGCACCCCCCACCACCCCCACTGCTCCAACTACCCCTACACATTGCTACCCTATGGGGGTGTGATCTCCTCCCCAGCGCATGGCCTGGATTCACTTTCAGCTTCCCATGCTGCCCCACCCCTTGAGGCAGAGTCGGGAAGCAGCAGCTGCAAGGGGATGCCTGGAGATTCTGGCTGCTGTTGGGGAAGCGGCAAGCACGTGAAACCCCTGGCGGGGGGGGGGGGGGGGGGGCGCCATAGTTTTAACCCCTTGCAGGCCCCCTTGCAGATCACATGCAGGACAGTTGGACAGCCCTGTTCTAGAAAATGGTAGTTTCCAGGTTGCTTATGTGTTTAGTTTACCTACAGAATCTGTTCTGACTCCGATCTTTTTTTCTGCGTTAGCATGTTTGATGTTGGAGGGCAAAGAGATGAACGCCGGAAATGGATCCAGTGTTTTAATGGTAAGATTGGAATTTACTTTCTTCTATAAAATGTGAAAAATGAAAGTTAACTGGAAGCTTGTAATGTAAATTCTAGATGCTCCCGGGACATGAGATGCAACTCCCTTCCCATTTAGTTGCTTGGAATCGTAGCGTGCCTCTCATTAGTCAGGCTGGCGGGAATCTGTGCTGCCGTGCAATCTGCTCTAACTGTTGAGAACACCTTGAGTGAGAGTTTGGGTGGGAAGGAAGTCGAGCTAGGTACAGTAAAATAGCTTGTCTATCTGTCTGAGGCTTCCTGCTGTTCTTTAATTACTGTATTTTCTCACCTACAACACACCCTGGAATATAACGCACACCTTGGTTTTTTTTAAAAGCAGAATGAATAAAAAACGATCTTTCCTTGTAGTAACTGCATAGCAGCAGCTAGGGAGCAGAGTGTTCACTGTTCTGCTCCTGGAGTGATGTGTAGATTTTACTTTCACTTTCAGCAAAAATCGTTCTTACCATATTTTCTCAGATATAATGGGCACAGAAATTTCCAGCAACTTTTTTTAATGGAAAGTGTGTGTTGTATGCAAGGAAATATGGTAGTTTTCCTTGTGATTTTCCTTGTGACTGTTCATTTCCAAACTCTGTTCTGTCTTCTCAAACAAAGGCTACACGTTTTAATGAATATGTCCACCAGAAATACAGGTGAGCAACTTAGTAAAAATTAGAAAGGCATGTTATGTTGCAAAATGGAAGCCAAATTGCTGACTCTGTAGATGCCACTCTTCTTCCTAGTTAGCACTAAGGCCAGTATGGTAGTAACGGACCTTTATGGATGGAGATGTCATGTCTTCGATGAAAAACTGGTTCAGAATACTTCTGCCATGGTTTACATTGTGTATTTAAGATGTTTGCACCTTCCCAGAGAACCAGGCATTTTTATAGTACAGCTTGTGAAACGGAGTTTTATAGTACTGGCTAGATCAGCAGTTCCCTAACTGTGGGTCACAACCCCAAATAGGGTTGTAGAAACAGCAGATGGGGTCGCAAGAAATAAAATCACTTTAATCTGGGGGCAGGCAAAATACAGCCTGCCAGGCAATTTCATCCAGCCTGCAGGCGCCCACCAACTAATTGTACCCCGCCCAGATCGTCCGCCTCTCTTCTGTGTCCTCGAGCGCGGAAGGGCCCGGCAGCCAGCACGCAGCTTCTGGGCAGGCAGCTGCTGCAACTGCTGGAGCCACCAGGGGACCCACTTGGCTTCCCCAGTGTCCCACTCGGTCCAGCCACCAGGTAGGGAAGCGGCAGGGGCGGGGGAGCTGCAGCTGGGAGGGAGCACAGAGCCCGTGCCCAGGGGGGTGACGGGAGTGTTGAGCTCAGGTGGGCAGTACGTGGGTGTGAGGGAGGGTGAGGGGGTGTGGGGACCCCCCACACACTCCACCCCCATGGTGCACAGCCCCCACTGCCAGCAGCAGCAGCGGTGGGCACTTGAGGCACTCGTGGCTTGCACAGGTGCTGCTGCCCAGTGGTGCGCGGCTCCAGCCAACGCTGCATATGGGGGCAAGGAGTGCATCCAGGCCAGCCTGCCTGTATCGCGTGAGGCTCCCTGGGGCACTCCGGGCACTCAAATGCCACTGGGACAAGCCCAGCATGATGGAGCTCGGCCAGCTGCCTTCCCCACCCCATGCAATGCAGGTCCCAGGGCTCCACTGGAAGTGGAAGGGAGCCCTGCCCCCTGCTTCCCGGTAGAGTCCCAGGACCTGCACGGCAGGGGGCAGGGAAGGCAGCCAGCTCCATCATGTGGGGCTTCTCTGGTGGTACGCGAGTGCCGAGGGCTGCATGTGCAGCGCAGGGAGCCTCCCACAATAGAGGCGGGCTAGCCTGGCTGCACTCCTTGCCCCCATGTGCAGCGCTGGTCAGTCGTGTGCCACCAAGCAGCAGCACCTGCACTGGGCCACAAATGCCAAGAGCGCCCACTGCCTGCTGCTGCTGCCACCACCAGCAGCAGGGGCTGTGCACCATAGAGGGAATGTGGGGGGTCCCCACATCCCCCCATCCTCCCTCACCCTGCCCCCACATATAGATGCCCCCCAACTTAACCTATGCCCCTCTACACACAGCCACACGCCCATGCCCTGCACTCACAACCCCCCTACGTGTATATCCCTCAGCATACCCTATTGCTCCCCTAACCACACCTCACACACAATATACAAGAATAAGACTTTATTTTTTAGATATTATACAATCACCTTTATATCTACTACACAGACACAAATCATGACAAAATATTTTTTGTAATAGAATTAAAATACTTTATAGTAGGTGTTCTATACTGAGCATTATTATTATGCTGCTTTATTGCTGTTTTGTTTTCATTGGCATCTGGGGTCCTGTGAATTTTCAAGTGTTAAAATGGGGTCACATTGGAAAATAGTTTGGGAAGCACTGGGTTAGTTCCTATCTGAATTGGCCAGGAAAATGTGTAATCTTCCTGCTACTAAGAATTGTGTGCAAGCTTGTTTTTTTCTAATTCTAACATAACTTCCAAGTGTGGTAAGGCGTAAAGATACTGTGCTCTTTTCACAAGAGCGGGAGTGCTATGGTGCTGTGGCCAAGGTTCAGTTAGGGGAATTGCATTTCTCCCTAAACTCCCCACACAATTTAACTGCGTGTTCCCCTCTTCTCCAGTCTTGGTCTGGTTTCTACAATACTGCTGCATTCTTCACTGTAGATGCCTGTATCCGAGTGGAATATGAAATATTGCTTTTGTTAACATCATTTCATAAAGCCAGAGCGAGTCAAAAATGTTAATAGGGGAAAAAAAATTTCACATAATTCCTCCTTTTCTCTAGACCAGCTGTATGGGATCCTACAGGAAGGAAGATGCTAAATAGAATATAGTTTACTGTTTATATAGCTACAGTTGCTGCATTATTTTTTGGATGCTTGGGGAGATGCATGGGACTACTGTGCAATATTTTCTTTCACCCTACTGATAAAAGATCCATTCAGTTTTCACCTCTGCTTCTTCCGTTCCCATTGCCTCATGATCTGACTCATCTCTCCTGCTGTTGAATTCGGAGGCAGATGAACTTGGAAGTGAGTGTGAGGGGTGTAGAGCAGCACAGCCACATAGAAGCACAGAATCGCCGGTTCTGTGGGTCTATGGATGTCTCCCTGGAAAGAGGCAGGGGCCTTCTGAGTGGTGTAGTACGCATTGGGAGGAGTTAAGACTACAACCATGACTTCGCAGTGATGCATCTTCATTTTTAAGTTTTCACTTTTCTTTCCTTTTCTTTTCTCCAGTCATCTTTCTTCTGCTGTCTCTAAGAAATACCTAGACAGAAGGTTTTGGGCAGGGTCATACTAATGTGATTTCAGTTTTAGTGTCATGGAAGCAAAAGGGCAGTTGCCCGGTAATATGCCTCAAAGGTATTTTTGCCTTTTCCTTTTCCCCCACAGGCTCCTTAGAGTTCCTTTCTAAAAAACTAAATATCTTCTTTTCTTTACATCTTTTCTTCTATTGTTGCTTTTTTTTCCCTTTCTCCAGTTTCTGAGTCTGTTTTTTCTCTCCTGATCTGCCTTCAGTATCCTGCTTCACATCCTGTTCTTTGACCTGCCACTTTCCTTTCCCTTATACATTCTTCCCTCTTTTGTATTTTTTACATTTAGAAAGCAATAGCATTCAGGC